CTCCTTCTCCTCCTCCTCTGCCTCCTCCTCTTCCTCATCCTCCTCCTCCTCTTTTTTTGCTCCTCCTCCTCCTCCTAGCTGCTTATTGTTCCTCCTCCTCCTCCGCCTTGCTCCTCCTCCTCCTCCTCCTTGCTCCTCCTCCTCCTCCTCCTGCCTGAGTCAACGTTGGGCAACATCGCGCGGCTTGGACGGTCGCTGGGTTCCTCGGCGAGTTTACGAGGGACCGTGGCTTCGGGGACGCGAAGATGGCGCAGGTTGCACGGCATCGTTGCGTCGGGGGCGCGAGTACGGCGTCATTCCCTAGATATCGAGGCCTTGGCGCGACAGTTGCAGAACTTACCAGGGATCGTGTCTTCGGGGACGCGAACACGGCGTGATATACGAGCGATTGTGGCCTCGGGGACGCGAAAATTGTTTAAGTTATGAGGGTCCGTGGCCTATGAGAGGCGAATGTTGCTGACTGTTCGAGGGATCGTGCCCTCGGGGACGCGACTATTGTGCAATTGATGCGGACCGTGGCCTCGGGGACGCGGACATCGTGAAGTAGAAGGGATCGTGGCCTCGGAGACGCGGGCGTTGCATCATTTACACGGGATCGTGGCTTCAAGGGGGGCGCGAATCTCGCATCGTGTTCTAGGGATCGTGGCCTCGGGGACTTGAGCATAGCGTAACCTGTAGGGGCTCGTGGCCTCGGGAGCGCGAAGATGGAGTCATTCAAAGGCGACCGCGGCCTCGATCGTACAATTCACGAGGGTGATGGCTTCAACAACGCGAGCATTGTATCATTCGCAGGGATCGTGGTCACGGGGGTGCGAATCTGGTGTAATTTACGAGGGATCGTGACTTCTCGGGGCGCGAACATGATGCAGTTTACAAAAGATCGTGGTGTTCGGGACGCGACTCTATTCCGCAATTTACCAGCGATCGTGGCCGCAGGAACGCGAAACTATTTTGGGACGCGAGGCAGCTGCAATTTGCGACGGAGCGTGGGCTCGAGGGCGCGGATATCTACATACTTTACACAAAAACGTGGCCTCGGAGATGCGAGCATTATGCAATTCATGAGGGATCGTGGCGTCGGCGACGTGAAGACTGCGTGATTCACGAGGGGTCGTAGCCACGGGACCGAATCTCACATGCTTGCACGTGTCACACGGCCCACTAGGGAATTCTGAGCACCCCTGGGGGGCGTGGTGAAAAAACCTGGTTCGCGGCTCCTCCTCCTCGCGCGGACAGCGATAGTGTACAGTAGGAAAAAGGAATTGAACTGCAGCCTGGGAGACTTGACGCTGGAACTGGAGCAGGGAGCAGCAGGCCTGACCCATGCAAACTGATGGCCCCACAAAGGGGCTCGTCGGATTGTGAATGCGCGGCCCCAGAGGTCCCGAACCCTTCCGCGGGGCAAGTTTTCAATTACCGATCAAGTTTTCGTAGTCCCCAGGGCCCGACATTGGGCACGTACGGCCGACATCGAGGAAAGACGTCCGGGCTAACAGTTGCAGATCGTCGGGTCCGCCGTATTGTGGACGACTTGACCAATGTGGCAGAACTTGCCGCCCTGCTTCTCGAGATCCGTTGATGCCAATGCCAATGTCTGCCTTGCTTTGCCATACTTTGCCGTCGTTGTCTCCGCCACACCTTTGCGATCAGGGTCCGGCTTGAATAAGGAGCTGTTATTTGTCAAAAGGGGCTCGGTCGTTCCTTTGGTTTGCATGCGTTCTGCTGCTTTTTTGGCGGCGAGCTTCCCTGTTGCTCCCTGGAAAAAAGGGGCTTCGTTGCTGATCTATCGTTCCGTAGGTCAGGCCGACTCCTGTACCTCTTCGCACCGCCTGGGCTGCACCTCCGCCAGCAGCTTCTGAGGCGGCACGTCCACCGGAGTGCCGCGGATGCCCGAAAAGTCAGGGCCGTCCCCGGAGGGGCGGCGCTTGCCGCCGCCCGAGCGCTGTTCAGCGGGGGGGCGATCAGTGGTGGTGAGTATCGTTTAGCCGATCCCCATCCCCAGCGGCGTGGCCTGGGCCCCACTGGCCGAATTACCCCCCCAGATGGGGATATAGGTCGTTCCCTTCGGGTTTCGAGGGGTGTCTCCCCAACTGGGGGGGTAATTTGGTGGTGGTCTCGAAGGGGATGGCGATGGGGATGGGTATCGATTAAACGGTACTGAGGTGGGGTGAAGACAGGTGCGCCCTTTGTGCCTTAAAAGGGCCCTGAATGGGTCCCCTGGGGCCAAGCAATCAGGGGAGGAAGGGGTACCGATACCGCTACCCTTCGCGCCCGTTTCCTCCTTGTTCGGCCTCCTGGGAGGCCTTCGTCGGCAGCGCTGGATTCGTCTCGAAATCATTGTCAGAACGCACCCCGGGATAGGTCTGGGGAGTAGCGGCATCGGTACCTTGCACTTTCCCACAAAAGGGGGCACGACAATGTACGCGTTTCCCCCCACTTACCTCGGCGGCGAGCGAGGGGGGGAAGTGAGAAGGAGAAAGCCTTCTGCGAAGGCGGCGGGGCTTCTGAGCAGCCCTCTGGCCTTCCGAGGCATGTCCTGCGTCCTCGGGGAAGCCTTAGGAAACTCCTCAGAGCAGAAGGCCGGGGGACTTCCGAGCCTTCTGAGATGGTCCGCCCCTTCTCGTTTCCTCCCCGGGCGCGCCGCCGACATTCACATCGCCATCCCTTTGGCCAGGGGCAACGATGGGGGGGTAGGATTGGCATCTGGGAGGATGCATCGGCTCCCAATCGCCCATTCCTCGTCGATGGGGGCCCGACAGCCCCAGCCCGCCCAGGAAGGTGCGGATCCGCCACCGGGGGTCTATCGCCGATCTATCGTCGATGTATTGCCGATTCCAGGTCGATGTTTCCCCCCCCCCCCCCCACCCCCCCCCCCCTATGCCAGTCCCCCCTATCGTTGCCCCCCAATTGAGCAGCGCCCAAGCCGCGCCCGCGCGGGAGCGGCGGCAGATTTCTGGTCGTCGAGCGCACCGAGGCGCTCTTCTCATTTCCCCCCCCGGACGTGCTTCCGACATTCACCGCCTTCCCCTTTTTTGGGGGTTCGTAGAGGGAGGGTTGTCCCAAGGTGGGGCTGGGGAACGGGCCCAGCCGGATGCTCCCGTTCAACGCCTTTCTTTCTTCCAGGAGCCGTCTGGAGCGATTTTCCCTCCAGCCCCACTTTTGCCCATATCCCACCCTTTGTGCCCCCCCGACCCTGGAGCAGCCCCCGAGCCGCGCCTCAGCGCGGGGGCGGCGGCAGGTTTCTGGTCGTCGAGCGCATCGAGGCGCACGCCGCGGCGAGGCTGCGCAGGCGCCTTCCGGGCTCGGGCTTCCGGGCTCGAGGGCCAGCGGAGGTCAGGAGCGAAAGAGGGACGTACACGTACACTCAAGTCGGGCATGTCTCTCTACAGGAGGAGTGCTCCAGAACAGGAGAGCATAGTCTGGTGGCGATGCTCGTGCTGTTTTCTGACCATTTTTGATCATCAGTTGACTGGTTTTAGTTTTCTCCCCCAAATCCACCTGTAGGAGAACATATCCGACCTAAACGTGCACGTACATGCGGCCGGTCTCGCGGATTTGGGGGCCGTGTTCATGTGCGTGGGTGGGCGCGTACGTTCTTCGTGGGCTCCCTAGGAGAAGGTTCGGGTTTGAGGTTCAGTTTGGGGTTCGGGGTTCGAGGTTCGAGGTTTTGGGTTCGAGGTTCGAGGTTCGGGAGCATCGAGGTGCGAGGTTGGAGGTTCGAGATTCGGGGTTCGAGGTTCGGGATTCGAGGTTAGAGGTTTGGGGTTCGAGGTTCGGGGGTCGAGGTTCTATGGGGTTCGAGGTTCGATGGGGTTCGAGGTTCGAGGCTCGGGTGCGAGGTTCGAGGTTTGAGATTCGAGCCCGCATCGAGAATCGGCGTTGGACAACTGTGCCCAGGCTGCTGCCCTACCCTCGTTTTCGCCGTTGTGGGCCTCCTGCGAGGCCCTCGTCGCCACGGCCGGGTTCGCCTCGAGAATCTGGTCAGAACGGACCCCGCGAGGGGTCCGGGGAGTAGCGGTATCGGCATCCTGTTTGGTTTCCCATGGATCCTCGAGGCTCGAGGCTCGTGACCCGAGCAGCGGTCGCGGGTCGAGGCCTCCTCGGCTCCCAAGCCCTTGTTAGACAGGTAGACTGTACCGTGTCGCGCCGCTGGATCTCTGGGGCCACCACGAGCGTGCGAAGTGAGTCGCGCTTCGAGGGCTGTCTGGGCGACTTTCGAGCGAGGCGCAAGTCCTTGATCCTATTCCCGGGGGGGGGCGGCGCGAAAGCGCGAAGATGGTTGCCCTAGGGAGTGTTGGCTTAGCGTGTCGCGCCGCCAAATCTGGCCCTCCACGCTGCTCGACTAGACGTAAGTGAGAGTGGCCCTTCGCCATAGTGACCTTTGGTGCGGGCCCGTCGGGGCTTCCCGATCTCCGAACGCTGGGCGGCAGTGGCGTCTGGCGCGCTGGCGTCTGGTCCACCCGCGGCACCCCGAAACGCCGCGCACCGGAGGCCACTCTCGAGTGCCCAGGGTCGGTCTTGCGTGCAGCCGAGCTTCGGCGCGACGTGTGGACCACCTCCCGACTCCCGTGCTTCGCGGAGCGCGGAGCGCGAGGATACGGTGGGGACCCGTTCCAAGAAACAGGTTGCTGGCCTCCAGGGTGCCCTGGGCTTCCTGGGCTTCGATGGCTTTTCCATGGACAGCGTGGCGCTCCCACGCCAAACATCGATGGACGCCCTCGGGCCTCAGGGAGGGTTGGGCTGCCTGTGTGACGCTTCCCTTGTGAACCGACCTCCACTGCAGTTGCCCATGGGGAACTCTGGCTCAGCGTGTCGCGCCGCCGGGGACTTCGCCTCCGGCTCCTGTCCAAGGTGTACCGTTTCCTGTGCAAGCTCCTCTGCACTGCCTGCACCCCGCGCCCTCCGGCCGCCTGAGGCCCCGCTGGCCTGCGCCCTGTCTCCCCAATTAGTGCTTTGCGCGGCCCGCCTAGCTCTTAACCGGAAGAGGCTCGCTCTCGACCCGCAAACCAACCAAAAAACAAGTGTCGCGCCGCCGGATCCGGCCCGCTTCGGCGCGACGTGCTGACCGCCTCCCGACGCCCAGCGCAGCAGCGTCCCGAGCAGCTTCCCGCCCCGCGGAGCGCGCTCTTGCAGGGCGCCGGGGGTGCTGCCGGGGCTGCCGCCGTGGTGCGCCATGCAAGAGATCAGGAGGGGAAGAAACACACGGACACAATCAATCGTCGATTCCCCAGGAAATGTGGGATACCATGGGAAGTGGGGGGAAGGCAATAAACCCAGTACGGACGACTATTGGGGGATCTTGCTATTTGTATCTATTTCCTCACATGAAACTGGGGTCCTTGTTTTCTCTGCAGACCCCCGGCGCAGGCTCTCTCTGCCCCCCTCGCTCCTCCTCTTCCTCTTCCTCCTCCTTCTCATCATAATCATCATCATCATCATCATCATCATCATCATCATCATCATCATCATCATCATCATCATCATCACACACTCGCACACACCCACACTCACACATTCACTCCCGTTTTCCGTCTCACTCACCCACTTCATCGCCATCACTCACACATCTTACTCACACCCACACTCACTCAGTCACACACTCACACCCACCATCATGATCGTCATCATCATCATCATCATCATCATCATCATCCGATCACGCACCCACTCACTCACTCACTCACTCACTCACACATCATCATCGCGATTGTGCATTGCGGGCTGCAACTTACACCGCGCATGATTCGACGCGTACGGCGTCTCTTCGGGTCTCTGGGGTCTGGTGCTTCGATGTTTCAGCTTGTGCGGCACGCGCGTTACTTGGGGACCCAAATCGGGCCTGCAGGGTATGCGCACGCGTGGCATGTCGCCGCACTTCAGCAGTATCGCCCTCGCTGTATTGAGATTCGTTGTCTTCGGCTTGGGCTTGCTATGACGAGTCGTACGTATGTGGTATTCGCTGTCACGCTGCTTCGTTGCGTGATGCAGTTATACCCGCTCTCTCGTGCTGTTCGGACATGTGAGCTGAATATGCGCCAAAAACTCATTGCTGATCCGCGCTTCTCGCTCAACCGCGTGATGTGTACACGTCTTCGGCACTTGGGGCTCAATCTTGGATTCCTTGATCTGGAATTAGTGAATATGGCGGCACAGGTCCGACTGGCACACCACTTCTTTGCTTTCTTTCCAGGATGCGGCTATTGCTTGGGAGCCTAGTAGCGCAAGATGACTACCATCCAAGTCGCATTAGATACCCGCGGTGGCGACACTCGTTTGCTCGCGCACTGGTCTCGACCTGGTCCGAGAACATCTCTCTCTCTCTCTCTGCTCGGCATTTCTGCGGGCCAAGGGGTTTCACATGCAACTTTTCAACCGTTTGCGTGCTCGCCCTGCCCCTATCTCCCCCAGTCGTTGCGTGCAGGTGCGGGTGGCTTGGTGGCTCCCAGAGGCTTCAGTATTTCAGGTTTCAGGCGTCATTCAGGCTATCCGCAAGGTTACCAATTATAGTTCTCTGTATCGTGGTTTTGCTGTTTTGCGAGTGCTGTCTCGAGGTGTATGTACTAGTGCCCGATTCTACCGTGGTCCTGGACGTTGCTGTTGGAACTGTGGGAGCCCTGGTGCTTCCGACTCTATGGGGCACTACGTAGTATGTCCTGAATTTCGTCGACTGAGTTTAGACCTCGCCCCATGCCTCCCCCCGTTTTTTAGCAACGGGTCCTGGCTCCGTCGTTAAACCCTTCTTGCCTCTCCTCCGTTCCCGAGTCAGAAACTGTTGTGCGTCTCGCTCCTTGGCGGTTTCTTGTTTGTTCAAGCCAGCGTTCGTGAGGGCTCCCGTCGCCCTGCCAAAGACCTCTTTCAAGCCCGAAGTCGTCTTTTCTGTCGGAGGCGCCCGGAAGTTCAGGAAGCCTGGTTGCGTGGCAAAGCTGCTTCTCGTTGGGGGCGAGTGAGTCCGTCTCCCCCTCTTTTTGCGCTTGCCCCTCTGCCTCCCTCTTCACTGTTTGCTGCCGCGCGCCGCTGGCAGCCTCTCTTTGCATCGCCTGCTCTCTGGATTTGAATTGGGAAATGAGCTCGAGCCTGTTATTCCTGCGCGGGCGGCATGGAGCTCTGCGCATCCTGTGCAAACCAGGGCGTGCAATGCCACGCTCTCCGCTGGGCTTCTCTGCTTTTCGTGCCGGACGCAGGTTTCCGATGAAGTGCAGCATGGCACCCGCTTTCTTGCGCCGTCTCCCTGGGCCGAGGGGCCTTGTGCGACCCAAGCGGACGGCCACTGGCTTAGTTGCTGATGCTGTGTCCCCCCCTCTCCCCCCTCCACGGAGCTCGCGCGCAGGGTTTTTATGGGCTTCGTTGTGTTGTCATTGCCCGCCACCGTTGGTCCCGTGGGGGGAAAATCATCATCGGCACCATTATCAATACCACCGCCATCATCATCACCACCATCACCACCACCATCACCAATTACATCATCATCGGCAGCATCATCACCATCACCTTCACAAGCACCAATACCAACATTATGCACATCAGCGTCATCGCCATCGTCGTCATCATGGTCACCATCATGATCAACATCAACACCATCGTCATCATTGGCACCTCCGTCATCATCACCATCACCGTCACCGTCACTATCATAATCAGCACCGCCATCATGATCTTCAACGACGCTATCGCCATCATCATCATCAGCATCACCACCATCACTCTCATCATCGTCATCAACATCATCATCATGCCCATCACAAACAGCATCATCACCATCACCATCATCACCACCATCATCGTCATCGTCGCCAGCATCATCAGCCGCATCATCGACATCTTCATCATACGTATCACCCTCCATGGTCGTTTTGACTCATGCTTGGCTCGAACGTCGAGCTGGCGGGCGGTGCGGGCATGATGGCCGCGGGATCCGCCCCATGCGTGTGGCGATCGGGAAGCTCGGTCGCCAGGAGGCAGCGGTGGGCGCGGGCGGTGGATTCGGCGGGGCGCCTCGTGGAGAGGCTGGTCGCCGAGCTCCACGCCGCGCGCCGCACGGGAACGATCCTCGACGACCAGGCCGAATCGCTGTGCGGCGGGCCTGTGGTTGGCTTTCGCCTGGCGGCTTGCGCCCCGCGCTGGCTGCTCCTCTTTCGGACGAAGCTCCTGGGAGGCCAAATTCAGATCTTGCCCTGGTCCGAAATCCGGTTTAATCCGGCTTAGTCCCGCTTGACCTGGCTTAATCCAGCTTGCTCCCGCTCAATCCGGCTTCGTCCCGCTCAGTCCGAGGCCCATTCCGGCGTAATAGCCCCCCAATGGGGCTTAATCCTCCTCAGTCCTTCCGACGAAGACCTCCCAGTAGTCCCCGCCTAAGCTTCTGGCTGGGCGCACGCCGTGCGACCTCGACCGCCCGCGGCGGAGTGTCGCCATGCGCGCGTTCGCAGAGGGCGTCGACGTCGCCACGGCCGGGCCGGGCGAGTTCAAGTCGGCGCAGCGCGAGGCCCTTCTGGGGGCGGGCGCCGTCCCAGTGGACGGCGAGGTGAGGCCGGGTGACTTCGTGCACGACGCGGAGGTCGACTTGGTCGGCTGCGGCGACTGGCTGGCGCCGGAGGCCGGCTCGACCGACACGTGTGCCGAGGCGGTGGCTGTCGGGCAGCGGCCTGGCTGCGAGGTGGCGGCGGGCGGGGAAGGCCGAGCGTTCGTGGGGTCGTTGGTGCTGCGGGGGGCCGAAGCGAGAGACCAGTCGGACGTCGAAGAGGAGTTGGAGGAGTCGGAGGGTGTCGTGGTCGCGGAGGTTGTGGCGGAGGTGGTGCACCCGGCCACGCACGCTGGCTCGCAGGAGGCCGTCGGCAAGATCGTGGCCGTCGACGGGGGCCCCGATGCCTTGCTCGAGTGGCCTGGAGGATACCGTCGGTCCGCGGGACGAGCACCACCGTTCGCGCGGCAACGTGCGCGTCTAGATCGTGCGCCAGACGGCCACTTGCCAGCTGACGGGGTGCCCCCCCCCGCCGCAGCTGAGGGCTCTGAGGGTGGCGTGCGGGGCGTGGAGGCGTCTGATGCTGATGCTGGCACTGGGGGCCCTTCTGCTGTTGCAGTCGATGCTCCTGGAGTACCCGCTGCTGGCCAGCTCGGTTTCCTCGAGGAGGTCGATTTTTAGGCGGTGGGTGCAGTCTCGTGGATGGTTCTCGAAGGCGCCGCTGCGCTCCTGGAAGTGTTCCTCGGCGCTGCGGCCGAGCCTCAGAAGCGGAACTGATTCCTCGGACTCGTGTGCGGCGCCGTGGTTCGTGCACCCACCCGCGGAACTGAGGCTCGAGTGCGACGTTGTGCACGGTCACGCGTCCGCGGGGCCCATCACTACATGTTTGTTATTCCGGTTCTAGTGGTGTGGATCGCCCCGGCGCGCATGTTCTGGGCAGCACCTGCTGGGGATCGAGAAATGCAGTTGTTGGCGTCCGATGCGCTTGGGACCCATGGGCCGCCGAGCGCGGCGCCTTTTATGCTCGTGGCGCCAGGCGGGTCTGGGGATCACGAATTCATGCGACGAGCGCTGTGATGTGTCAGGGATGTCGACGCTCCGCTCGAGGCGCCAGGCGGGTCCAATAATCACGGATGCCTGCGCCGAACTGGCTACTGCTTTCGGGCGCTGGCGCGTATTCCGTCCAGATATGGATCTGAGAGCAGTACCGCTCGAGGCTGGGGGGCTTCAGGCAACCCCCGGCGATTGGTCGTGGCCGAGATGTTCGGCGCAGCCCGCCTGCGCTGTGCTGATCCTCGCTTCTGCCAGTGGTTGCAAGGTTTGCTGCTGCGCGCGAGGCGCCCAGGGAAGCGGCTGGGTGTGGCCAGGTGTCGAGATTCCCTTCTGGACTGCGTCTACTGCACATCGCCATCATCATCATCATCATCAGCATCATCATCATCGTCATCAGCAGCACCATCATTAGCATCATCATCATCAGCCGCACCATCATTATCATCATCATCACCATTATCATCATCAGCAGCATCAGCAGCGTCATGATCATCTCTGCGGTGAGACTCTTGAGGGCCATCATCGTAAGTTGTTTAGTCTCGAAGGAGCACCCTCACAGTCTAATCTGGCGTTTTCTGGTAGTCAGTGCGGCAGCCTAGACAGGGACTCCTCCAGGTCCAGCTCAGCTCCGCGTTTGTCCTTCGGTTTCTCATCCTTCCGCTTCTTCATCGAGTTTCGAGCTTCGATAATTGAATGTTGCTCCTCCTGCCTCGTCCTCCTTTTTCCTTCCCCTATTTTCTGATCCCTCTCTTCTTCGAGCGTCGTTCTTCGACAACGACGCCCGCTTGCTCGCTGACCCGAGCCCCGCCCGTCCTCGCGCACGCTGGCGATTACGCACTGCAGGATCGACGCCCGCGACGACGACGACGACGACGACGACGACGACGACGACGACAGCGACGACGGCGACGACGACGACGACGACGACCACGACCACGACCACGACCACGACCACGACCACGACCACGACGACGACGACGACCACGACGACGCCGACGACCGCGGCGGCTGGCGACGGCGCTTGGGCCTCCGCCGCTCTCCCGTGGCCTGCTGCGGCCTCGGGCGAGCCGCGGGCTAGTGCGCGCGCGCGTGTTCAGGTGCTCCAAGGTGGTGCAGGAGGCGGTGGTGTCCCGGGGTTCCCTGTCAGGCGCAGCCGGGGCGCGGAGGGAGGGGTCTTCTCTCGGAGGAGAAAACGGTTCCCATACCGCTGCCCGTACCTCGGTTGTCTCCTTGTTCGGGCCTCCCGGGAGGCCCTCGTCGCCAGCGCCGGATTCGTTTCGGAGTCCTGGTCAGAACGCTCCGCGGTCGGTACTTTCCCAGGGTGCGTATCGGTACCTTTTGGTTCCTCCATTTTCTGGTATGAAGAATTGGGGGTGCGATAATCGGGGCGCCCTGTAATGCGTAGTCTGGGCGCAGAATCGGGACGTTCGAAATGGGTACGGAAAGAATGGGTACGAAGACTGACAGCCACTCGTGTTCATTTTGAACATGGCTCGCTGTCGGTGTCGCCACAGTGTCGCCGCTGACGTGGTCCATTTGAGACAGAAGGCTGCCTGCCCAGCAGCGGCCGCTGTCGGTTTTGGATGACATTTGTTTTTGGGCATCGTCATAATGAGGGGGCCGAACGGTCATTCATAGTCCCTAGGTGCGTGGTTTAAGTGGGGATCCGTGGTGAGTATTCTGCCTGTTGGGTTGTTGCGTTGTTGTTGTTGTTGCTGCTGCTGTTGTTGTTGTTGTTGTTGTTGTTGTTGGTGTTGTGGTCGTTGTCTGTGTCGTTGTCGTTGTTGTTGTCGTTGTTGTTTTTGAATATTATTACTTCTAAAGAATAATTATTGTTGGGCCCCCTGGTGCACGCCCCCCTCGCCGCGCCTAGGCCGCAGCCACATTTTCATCATTTTCGTGAGGAAGTCTCAGGCAAAACGGGTTGGTCCAGATCCGGTTGTTTTGTTGTCCCCCGCTTTCCCTCGCAAAAAACACTATAAAATGAAATTTCTTGTTCTAACATATCCAAACTTCAAGAATCCCTTGCAAAAAATCAGGTAAAGTGGACATTCGCGCGCGCAAGACGAAATCCTTCCAAAACCTTAGTTGTCGTAACGCGTTTAACATAAAAACATCAAAAAAACCAATGGTTTTTCAAAACAAAATGTCAAAAATTCATCCCGCGCGCTCTTGCGGATTCGTAGGAAATCCAACATTTTTTAAACATTTCTGTCAAACGGGCTTTTGCTAGCAACTTTTTCGAACTTCTGCCACAACGGTTGCGCACCCGCCAGGGCCATCATCCCTGTCAAATAATACCATGCGGGACACATTCGTTTTTTCTTCGCGCGCGCACGCCGTCGTCGTCGGCCGCGGGGCCCTGAATAGTAGCCACGGTCGTCCGCATGCCACGAAGTGAAGTGTCCGAACGTCATAGGGCGGGAAGCTGGGTGTGGGTGGTGGCGAAGAGTCGTTTGGAAATTTGGTAGAGCTTGAACCGGCCCCCCCACAAAGTGGGGGTATTGCCCGCCTCCTATGAAAACCCTGGCACTGGTGAGAACGGAGTGTCCCCACGTGCTAGTAATTGTTGTTGTTGTTGTTGTTGCTGTTGTTGTTGAATAGTATTACTTCTAAAGAATAATTATTGTTGGGCCCCCTGGTGCACGCCCCCCTCGCCGCGCCTAGGCCGCAGCCACATTTTCATCATTTTCGTGAGGAAGTCTCAGGCAAAACGGGGGAGTCCGGATCCGGTTGTTTTGTTGACGCCCGCTTTCCCTGTCAAAAAAAACAATATAAAATGACATGTCTTGTTCTAACATAACCAAACTTCAAGAATCCTTTGCAAAAAATGGCACGAAGTGCACACTCGCGCGCGCAAGATGAAATCCTTCCAAAACCTTAGTTTTCGTAGCGATTTTAACATAAAAACATGAAAAACCCAATGGTTTTTCAAAAAAAAAGTTTCAAAAATTCATCCCGCGCGCTCTTGCGGATTTCTTAGGAAACCCAGTACTTTTTCAACATTTCTGTCAAACGGGCTCTTGCGAGCAACTTTTTCACGTGCTTCGAACTTCTGCAACAACGGTTGCGCGCCTGCCAGGGCCATCATCCCTGTCAAATAATACCATATGGGACACATTCGTTTTTTCTTCGCGCGCGCACGCCGAAATCTTCAAACACCATTGGGTTTCTTAAGAATTTCAGCACCGCGTATCATAAAATCGCACGAATCGCACCGTAGGTCCTCGAAAAACACGTGCACGGATTTTCCAAATTTCTACCCGCGCGCGCTGTCCGAATCCTTAAAAACAAATGGTTTTTCAACATTTATGTTACATGAGCTCGCGCGAGCTACTTTCGCACGCTCTTTCAACGGCGTTCGCGCGCCTGCCAGGGGCCACAATCCCTTGCAAAAAATACCATGCGGGACACATGCGCGCGTCGTCGCGTCGTCGTCGTCGTCGTCGTCGTCGTCGGCATGTTACCACAACAAGTCCGTGCGTCACCACGTCATCGAACAAAATCACTGATCACTGTCACATCCGTAGCCATCTCGGATCAAGGTATCGCCTGTGTTCTTGGATGGGTCATGGCTTTGTCGGCGAAAGCCCTTGACGACCAGTAAGGCCCAGAGCTGTCGCGGCCTCCCTTGGCTGACTGCGGCAGCCCGTATCATTTGCATCAGGCGCTCGTTGCAAAGGGTATCCAGGCCAGTCACCAGGCGTGCAAGACTTGGTGGGGCAAGTATCGGGTTGTGCCTGGCAAGGTCAGTATTTCTAGCGCCAAGGAGCTGGAGGAGCAGCACGGCTCTGCCATCCGCCACCTGGGCATCGAGTATAATACAGCTTTCAAATTATGCGGGGCGCTCCGACAGTTGGATCCACCACTATATGTGCCAGATAGGGTCGCAACGGCGTGGCTACTGCAGTATTCTTCCAAAGAGACGCTTGTCAAAGTGCAGAACGCTGGCCATCTGGAGACCTGGTATGGAGAACGTATTCGCGCAGACATGCCCGAGGGGACTACTGACGGGGCCGTCTTGAAGCAGTGGCCCCTGGGACATTTATCTGTATCTGCTGACGCCAGGGTATGCCAGAAGTGGCTCAGCACGGAGTGGGGCGCCAAGGGAGTGGGGCGCCAAAAATTGTCAAAATTTCATCCCGCGCGCTCTTGCGGATTTGTAGGAAACCCAACACTTTTTAATCATTTCTGTCAAACGGGCTTTTGCGAGCAACTTTTTCCCGTGCTTCGAACTTCTGCAACAACGGTCGCGCACCTGCCAGGGCCATCATCCCTGTCAAATAAGTCCATGCGGGACACATTCGTTTTTTCTTCGCGCGCGCACGCCGTCGTCGTCGGCCGCGGGGCCCTGAATAGTAGCCACGGTCGTCCGCGTGCCACGAAGTGAAGTGTCCGAACGTCATAGGGCGGGAAGCTGGGTGTGGGTGGTGGCGAAGAGTCGTTTGGAAATGTGGTAGAGCTCGAACCGGCCCCCCCACAAAGTGGGGACATTGCCCGCCTCCTATGAAAGCCCTGGCACTGGTGAGAACGGAGTGTCCCCACGTGCTAGTAATTGTTGTTGTTGTTGTTGTTGTCGTTGTGGCCATCCTCGGCCACTCTCGTCGGCCGCGCCCCGCTCGAGAAGCTTCGACTTGCACGTCCAAGGCTCTTTCATCCTTACGGTGGAGGCCCCATGCCAAGAAACACCTTGCTTTTGCCTCCAGGGCGCCCTGGGTTACTTGGGTTTCGGCGGTTTCGCCGTGAAAGGCGCGACGTGCCCACGCCAAACATCGATGGACGCCCTGGGGTCTCAGGGTTGGGTTTCTAGTGGAAGGTTTCTTGTAGACTGGCCCCTACTGTATCGCGCATGCTTATGATACGGGCTGGCTGTACAGTGCCGTTTTCAATACATGCTCCGCGGGCGGACCATGTATTCAAATGCAGGGATTCAGTATCAAAAACAACGATGAGTTCATGCATCAATTTATTCATACATTGACCCTGTATTACAGATCCTATATCTTTAAATCCCATGTATTGAAAACTGCCCTGTACGACATCTGTGGCGTGCCGCCGGTTTCCGCCCCGCCGCGGGGCACGCCCTTCGATGCGCGGCCGCCGCCGGCGCCCGGAGGCGCCAGTGCAGCCAGCGGACTGGGCGTCGCATGCTCTAGGCCTCCCAGATGGGCTTGTTTTCCACCACCACCACCACCAGAAGTTGGAGGGGGGGGGGGGTCCTTCTCCTCCTCCTCTTTCTCCTCCTCCCCCTCCTGGTCCTCCTCCTCCTCCTCCGTTCTCCTCCTCCTCGCCCTCCTCCTTCCCCCCTCCAACTTATGGTGCTGGTGGAAAACAGGCCCATCAAGATGGGGTCGAAGTAGAGGGGGTCGGAGGATCGCGCCGCATCGTCGATGCATCGGCGATGCGGCGCGATGTGGAGCCCGATTTTCTCCACGCTGGAGTCGCCGATGCGTCGCCGACGTCGCCGATGCATCGGCTATGCATCGGCGATGTATCGCCGATGCGGTGCGATGCTCCGACCACAGCTGCTCCGACCCCATCTGGGAGGCCTGCCGATGGGTTTGAGTCGGGCCTGTCCCTCCACAGGAGGAGTATTCAAAATAGTAAAGAAACAGCCTGGGGACGATTTTTTGACTATTTTGAATATTTTTGGGGGTATTACTTTTGTTCGTCCAAATTCCCCGCCTGTAGGGGGACATGCCCGACCTGAACATCGGTGTCGGCGGCGAGCGAGGGGGGCACCCTCAGAGCCCGGCGTCGCAACTTCTGCTGGAGCCGGGCGCGTTCGCCTCTTATTTGGGGCCCGGGGTCCCTCGCAGATCGATCCGGCTCGAAAAAGGACCCAGAAAGATTGGGTCCAAGGATCCGGGCGTGATGTGCTACGATGCTGATTTTTTTCGCTACGTCGGATCTCAGTGAAACGAGGAGGAGGATGCACTCGCAGAAGGCAGCGGGACTTCTCCGAAGCACTCGCGCCGTCTGAGAGTTTTACTGCGTCTTTGGGGGAGGCCTTCGGAACTTCACAGAAGGCCCAGGGACCTCCGAGCCTTCTGAGAAGGCCTTTTCCTTCCCGCTTCCCCCTCCCCCTCCTCTTCCTCCTCCTCCTCCTCTCCTTCCCCCTCCTCCTCCTCCTCCTCCTCCTCCTCCTCCTCCTCCTCCTCCTCCTCCTCCTCCTCCTCCTCCTCCTCCTCCTCCTCCTCTCTCCTCCTCCTCCCTCCTCCCTCCTCCCTCCTCCTCCTCCTCCTCCTCCTCCTCCTCCTCCTCCTCCTCCTCCTCCTCCTCCTCCTCCTCCTCCTCCCCCCTCCTCTCCTCCCCTCCCCCTCCTTCCCTCCTCCTCCTCCTCGTCCTCCCCCCTGCTCCTTCGTCCCCGCACACCTCTTCCCGCCCATACCGCTGGTACTGCTGCTGCTGCTGCTGCTGCTGCTGCTGCTGCTGCTGCTGCTTCCCCTGAAGCGCTCTCGCTCCACTCCTCCTCCTCCTCCTCCTCCTCCTCCTCCTCTCCTCCTCCTCCTCCTCCTCCTCCTCCTCCTCCTCCTCCTCCTCTCTCTCCTCCTCCTCTCCTTTCTCTCTCCTCCTCCTCCTCCTCTTTCTCCTCCTCCTCCTCCTCCTCCTCCTCCTCCTCCTCCTCCTCGTCCCCTTCCTCCCCCCCCCATCCTCTCTCTCTCTCTCTCTTCTTCCCCCACCCCCTGCTGCTGCTCCTCCTCTCTCCCTCCTCCCGGCCACTCCCTCTCTCCTCCGCTTCCTCACCTCCCGCGGCTCCCGAAGCCCCGCCCCCCAGCTCCCGAGGCACCCGCGACCCGACGGCGGTGCTCATGACGAGGATACGGGACGCGGAGGCCGGGCCCGCGCCGCCTGCCGAGGGGGAGGCGAGGCCGCGGAGTTGTCGGCCCCGGCCACTCCCTCTCTCCTCCGCTTCCTCACCTCCCGCGGCTCCCGAAGCCCCGCCCCCCAGCTCCCGAGGCACCCGCGACCCGACGGCGGTGCTCATGACGAGGATACGGGACGCGGAGGCCGGGCCCGCGCCGCCTGCCGAGGGGGAGGCGAGGCCGCGGAGTTGTCGGCCCCGGGCTCCAGAGGTGTGCTCAGGCCACGCGCAGAGGGGGGCAGGGAGGCCTCTAAGAGTCCAGGCCTCCCAGATGGGGTCGGAGTAGATTGATGGGCCTGTTTTCCACCACCACCACCATAAGTTGGAGGGGGAGGGGGTCCTCCTCCTCCTTCTCCTCCTGGTCCTCCTCATCCTCTCCGTTCTCCTCCTCCTCGTCCTCCTCCTTCCCCCCTCCAACTTATGGTGGTGGAAAACAGGCCCATCAAGATGGGGTCGGAGTAGAGGGGGTCGGAGGATCGCGCTGCATCGCCGATGCATCCGCGATGCGGCTCGATGTGGGGCCCGATTTGTTTCACGTCGACGTCGCCGACGCACCGCCGACGTCGCCGGTGCATCGCCAGTGCACCGCCGATGTATCGCCGATGTGTATCGGCGCCGCGCCGCGGTCTTCCCACCCCAACTACTCGGACCCCATCTAGGAGGCCTTTAGGGTAGGGGGAGCGGGGAAGGCTTCTTAGAAGCACCACCGCTTCTTGGAAGGCGTGGGCCTTCTCTGTAGATGTGAGGCCAACGCCTTCTGAGAAGAAGCTTTCCCCCTGTGCGCGCGGCCACAGTGCTTGAGCAGCATGAAACATTTCCCGATACGGATATTCAGAATTCCCCGCAGTGTCTGAGGGCGCCGCCCTGAAATTGTCGTCGCCTTCGAGCATAAGCTTGAGGCCGGTTATGCGCTTGAGGAAGAGAGAACAGTCAGGAGGGGAAAAAGCACACAGACACAATTAACCGTCGATCCCCAGGAAAATATGGGAAACTTTGGGAAGTGGGGGGGAAGACAAAAACCCAGAAAATATAAGAAAAGTTGGGGGGATCTGGTTATTAGTGTGTATTTTTGTGTGTGTGTGTGTCCCTGGGCCTCTCTCAAGCTTGGGGATGTTCGCGTCGGACAGCTTGAGCCTGCGCTGGGCCTCCTCTGGTGGCGCCGCTGGCGCCGCTGGGGCGCTCCGCACGCGAGCGAGGGCTGTCCAGCGCCGATGCGAGAACTCCGCGCGGATCTCCGGTTGCCCCGCGAATTGCTGTCGGGGGGCCGCGGCAGAGGGAGGGGGGGGCGCGGGCGAGGCGCGGCGACGGTCATAGCAGTGGGGGCCCGACCACAAGAAACCGGCCACAAGAAACCAAACCCTGAGACCCCAGGGCGTTTTGGTGTTTTTTATGTTTGTACAGTGGTGTGCCTTCTGCGGGCGCCAGGTGGTCTTTTGGAGGGGAACGCCAGGGGCGAGCACGTGGGCTCAGGGGGGGATGCATCGACCCCCGATCGCCCATTCATCGCCGATCGGGGCTTGACAGTCCACCCCACCCGGGAACGTACGGCCTTGCTGTCGAGAGTCTGTCGCCGATCTATCGGCGATGCATCGCCAAGTCCAGGTCGATGTCCGATGCTTGCAACCATGGTGAGCCGGTCCCATTCTGTCGCCCCCCCCGGAGGTGGCTTTTTCAAGAGTTCGGGCCAGCCAGCGCTGGCGTCGCCCACGAGGGCAGCATCGTGCGGCCAGCGCCATCAGCGGCGGAGGAGAAGGGAGCGGAGGACCGCCGCCACGCAGCTCGAAGGGGGTTCGGCTGCTTGGCTGATTGGCCGCTGCTGCTGCTCTCGCCCGCCCAGCTCGGTGGGCCTGGGGGCGGTGGCGGCAGCGGCGGCGGCAGCCGCATCGGCCGCCGCCTCCTCCAGCCCCGCCTGCTCATGGGCCCGGCGCCGGAGGTACTGGTGGAGCGGCGTCGTCCGCTTGGAGGGTTTCTCCGAAGGGCTTAGGCGACCTGTCCTCCTCCTCCTCCTCCTCCTCCTCCTCCTCCTCCTCCTCCTCCTCCTCCTCCTCGGGTCGCCTACGGCCCCAGAGGAAACGGTCCACGGCCGCTCCAAGTCGACTGGGGAATTCCTGGAGCCCTTGGGGTGCCTGCCGCTTCTCAGGAGATGCCGCCGCGTTCTGTCTCCTGCCCGGGCAGAGCGACAGGCGCACGTGTGAGCTGAGGGAAATGGCGCGGGCTTCCGAAAGTGTGCCGCAACGGCATCAGGCCACAGGGAACGACCCACCCCGTTTCTGCTCAGAGATGAAAGGCATGTGTCCCCGCGGGTTCCCTCAAAGCTCGGCAAGCTGCAGGGCATAGCCTGGGCAACGCCCTGACTTCTTGGTTGCCACACGCTCGCGGCAATCGATGCACAAACATCTCTTCCCCGAGACTTCCCACCTGCCCACGGGGGCGGGAAGCCGTGGGAGGAGGTGGGGGAGGAGGCGATTGGAGCGGGCTCCAGACTTTCTGAATTGAAGCGGCCCCTAAAGAAGGGGATACATATTCAGCAGGTTTGGCGAAAGCCTTCTTGGACGTGCTAGGTTCAATAGGGGGCCACTCCTGCATGGCGTTGGCGACATGGAGGAGAAACTTACTTCGCAGCTTTTCCTGGTCTGACAAGGATTATACTTCAGCATCCGAAGGTCGGTTGAAGGCACGCGGGGCGATTCCAGCAAAACGATCGGCTTTATGGTTGCTCATGGCCGCGGCACACTCGGAGGACCCCACGGGATAGGCGTCGAGGCTTGGGTGGGCCTTGACCTTCGAAAGCTTGAGGTGCGGGCGCCAGTCTGTGGAAGCCCGCGCGAGGAAGCCGATCCTTGCGTATCTGTTGCGGCGAGACAGGCCTGTGGCGTGGAGGCCAGTGGTTTGGGAGGAGGAGGAGGTGACAGCCGCAAGCACGGCGCAGTGCTCAGCAGCAGGAGAGGATGACTTTGCCAGCTAAAGCAGCGACATCCCCGCCTGCATCGATCGTCTTGACGACGGCCCGGCCCGCAGTTTCAAAAGTGCTGCACCCAGGCTCGGGTGCCGACGCGTCCGTGGAGACTTTGCCCACAAGGGCCGGCTGGGGGGTGGTCTGGGGATCCGCGGACCAAAACTTCATGGAGCTGCGTCCGAGCCCTTCTGGAGCTCCTGCTTCAAAATCTGGCTTTCTCTGGAATCCAGCGGGAAGCGGAAAACTGTCCTGACTAGCTATAATACTGATGTCGTCCGATTCCAAAAAGTTAGACCTGTGGGGCTCAGTTAAGGGACATCTCACAAGACGGTGGGGGAGGTCGTCCGATGGCGCGCCACGGGTGCATTCTCCTGAGGCTTCGTCGTAGCCTGCTGCCTTCAAGTCCCTGCGCGTCCATATAGCATGGCAGAGGTAGGCCAGCAAAGAAGTCCTTTCCACGGTGCTGAGACTGGGTGACCTGAGGCATTTCCGAGCGACGTCGACGTTGACTGGTGGCTGCACGTGGTAGTTTATCCCCCCAAGACTGCCCGAGAAGATCCTGCAGAAGGCTGAGGGATGTGCTGGTGAGGATGTGTTGGCTCCCTTGACCGTCCTGGACCGCGGAAGTGGGGACCGAACGATCACCGAGTCCTCGGGAGGCTGAGCAGGGCTGCTAGCGGTCCTGTGCAACTGCTCCATGACGTAGGCGGGCTCTGTACAGGCGCGGGCCATGCCAAGAAACACCCTGCTTGCCTCCAGGGTGCCTCGGGTTTCATGGGTGTCTTGAGTCTCGACGAATGGACATCCTGGGCTTCGTGGGCCCTGGCAATGGCAGGGCCTTTTTTTGTCGGTTCCGTTTTGCATTTTTTGTTGTCAATTCCGACGCCATTTGTTTATCGGTTCCGTCGCCGTTTTTTACCGGTTCCGGTTCCAATCCTGGAATCGTTTGTTTGCCGTTTCCAGTCGCCGTTTTTTTTGCAGCTTCCATTTTCAAGAGACACTTTTTCGGCAACGGTGAAAACACGGCCCTGCCGTTTCTGGGGCCCACTGTGATTTTGGGGTCTCACGATTGTTTTTTATGTGGAAGGTTTCTCGAGGTCGGGCCCTTACTGTAGATCTGCTTTTGCCATCCTGCGCAAACTGGGCAGCTTGGAGCCCTGGGCGGCCGCGCCCGTGGCCGCTCTCTCCGCACCGGCGGGCCCCCAGACAGCCTTGGCCCTTCTTGCTGGTCGCCGGCGCGGGTCGCCTACAGTGCAGGGCGAGGTACTCCTGGAGCGAGTGGAGGTCCTTTGGGCCCGCGACCTTGAGGCAGGGCGATTGCGACTTGCGAAGCTCAACGTTGCCGAGGCCCACGACCTTCGACCCGTAGAAACGGCTCAGGATGAAGCAGCGGTCCCGGGGAATGGGTCCAGACTGTTGGGTGTCGAGGTCATGAACAAAAAGTCATGACGTCGGGGGTCTGGGACGATGGAGGGAGGGATGGGGGCTGATGGGATGGAGGAAGGATCGAGCGACGAAACTTCAACACATCCGGGCTGGTCCCTTTCTGAGCCAAGGAGCTGTGCAGACCGCCTTTCAAGCCAAGCCAGGAGCGTGTGGCGTACACATCGCTGCTGGGCTCAGGGTGGGCCTGGCTGGGGAGCAGTGGATTTGTAGAGTTTTCGTCGCCCTAGAGGAGGTCCCTTGGCACTCGCCCTCGCCGAGGCCGAACATGGTCCCGCGCCTGCCGAAGGACGGCGGGGGGGGGATCGGCGCGGAGTGCTTGGCCGTTCCCTCTTCCTGCCTATCGGCTCCGGCTGAGGCCGTGACTCGGAGGGGCTCATCTAGGGCTCCTAGATGTGGTCGGAGTAGATGGGGTCGGAGGATCGCGCCGCATCGCCGATGCATCGCCGATGCGGTCCGACGTGGAGCCTGTGTTTCCCTTCTGCCAACGTCGCCGATCCATCGCCGACGTCGCCAGTGCATCTCTGGTGCATCGCCGGTGCATCGCCGATGCACCGTCGATGTATCGGCGATGCGGCGCGATCCTCAGCCCCTACCTACTCCGACCCCACCTAGGAGGCCTGTAGACTCGGAGGGGCTCAGTGTAAGTATGGATCACGTCAGTTTGGTCGGCCACGAGGCCAACGATTTGGACGAAGGAGTTTGGTGTACCGACGCTACGGCATCCCTCTGCTTGGGAACCTGAGGTGTCTGCACGCCGAACTCTTTTGTCGACCAGACGACTTGGCGTCTGTCTTCAAGCCCCTCCCAGTGACCCCGATCCTAGCATTGGGATTTGAGGATAGCCTTGTCCATGGAGTGTGTAGCCAACACCCGAGAAACAGAGAGAGAGAGAGAGAGAAACAAAAACAACAACAACGAGGTAGCGGAATACACATATATGTGTATATATATATATATAGAGAGAGAGAGAGAGACAAAACAACATAGAGAAAGAGACAGAGGGATGCAGCGCAGTGGGTGTTCCAAGCAGCGTGGATTCGCAAGTGTACTCATCAGGTTCCTGGCATGCCTTGGGCGAGATCCGGGGGCGATCCAGGGGGGAAACACGTAGAATATGTTTTGTTTCTGCTATTGCTTTCGGAAGAGGAGATAGATTTGCATAGGGGGCCAGGGAAGGAGAACAGTTGACTCAAGCACCGAATAATCTTAGTCTCCAAGATGGGACCAGACCATTCGTAGACAGGGTCGGAGGATCCGCTCCGCATCGCGTCACATCAGAGACCGGGCGCGACAAGTAGCCTGCTTGTGTCCATCCCGAGGTCGCCGTTGCATCGCCGGTGCATGGGCCATGCGGTGCGATCCCCAGCGATCTCACTTGCCAATCCCACGTCGTTTGGTGAGAGACCGTCCAGTGACCTCTGAACCCTGAGGACACCGCTAGACGGTCCGTCACTGCAAGATTTGTGACCTTGACGGCCCAAGGCTCTCTGGACATCCTCGGATAACGACCCAGGTTCCAAATCGGGCCGCCCTCTCCCTGGATCTCATTTTTCCCATCCCGACGTCGCCGATGCATCGCCGCTGCACCAGCGATGCGGCGACATGCTCCGACCCAGCCTACTCGGACAGCATCGATGCGGCCTCAGAGGACCTGCAGCGCTGCCGTATTTCCTCTGCCTCCGCACCGCGCCTCTCCACGCCCTCCCTGCCCCCTCTGCCCTCCGCACCGCCCTCGGACGTCTCCTCTCCCGTTCCCTTCCCCCCATCGCACCACGGAGGGGACTCCCGGGCCAACAGGATCCGACCATCGGGGCCACGTCCTGTTGGCGGCCCTCCTGCTCCTGGCTGCACCCCCCGCCTCGCTGCCCGCACCCCGCCCTCGGGCTGCGGCGCGGCCGGCCCGGTTGCCAGTGCGGAGTCCAGCGGGATGGCTGCCCGGGCCTCCTGCCACGAGATCCAGGGCCAGGGGAAGGCAGGGAGCGCCAGCGGGGCAGGGGATGGTAAAACGACGCGAAGATCGGGACAAACTCGGATCGGGATAACTCGAAATCTCTGAGAATCGGCGGGTTTGGAGGATGTATTGGGCGCCGCGGCCGCTCCAGAGCGTTCCAGAACGCTCTGAGAGCGCTCCGGAACGCTCTGGAGCGATTTACCCCGATCCTGGCCCTGTTTTAGGATGGGGCCATGGTGGGCGGGAGGAGGGTTAGAGGTAACGGCCGAAGCCGATGGCAGGGATGGGTAGCCTTCCCAAGGGCACACTGGCATCTTGGCCTCTTCGGTCCGTTCTTGATCGCTCTCGATGGCCCGCCGCGCTTGAAACAGCTGCAACACGCGCGCCCAAGGGGCTTGCATCGTCATCGCGCATCCTCACTGTCAGTCTTTTTGGCGCCGCTCGGACGTGTGCATCTCTTCTTGGCGAGGACCATCGAGGAGCATCCTGGAGCACACGGCAAGAAGTGTACGCACGAAACCGAGAAATGCACAAGGAATGGAAGTCCGAGCGAAGGCGAGTCTTGACTGTAGGGTTAAGTCGGGCGTGTCCCTCTACAGGAGGAATATTCAAACATAGTCAAACATAGTCTGGTTACGCTTTTTTGTTGTTTGATTTTTTGGTGAATATATGTTTTGGACTAGTTTTGTTTTTTCGTGCAATCTGCCTGTAGGAGGACACGCGCGACCTGACTGTAGGGATTCGTGCCTGGGGCGTCCTGGGGGAGGGGACTGGTATTGGCGAGGCGAGAGCCACAGGGGAGGAGCAGGAGGGAAGCGGGGGGGCGACCGTACGGGGCTAGGACTAAGTCGGGCCTGCCCCTCTACAGGAGGAATGATCAAACATAATCAAAACATAGCCTGGGGGCGATTTTCGGACTACTCTTGAGCACTGTTGGAGTATTTGTTGACAATTTTAAATTCTTCCTCACAAATCCCCCTGTAGGGGGACAGGCCCGACCTAAGGCCAGGACGAGGATACAAATCCGTTCCAGGACGACGACCAGGACGACGACGACTACGACGACGAGGACGACGACGACGAGGACGAGGACGAGGACGACCACGACGACGACGAGCGCTCTGAGAAGGCCGCGGCGCCCGATGCATCCTCCACAGCACGCTGGGTCTCAGGGATTCTCGACTTGTCCTAGGCCTCTGAGATGGGGTCGCCAACTCATCGCCGATGCATCGCCGAGACATCGGCGATGCATCGGCGACGCGGCGCGATCCTCCGACCCCATCTGCTCGGACACCCCCCATCCAGGAGGCCTGTATTGGGAAGGCCTAGCGGCCGGGGCCGCCGAACCTGAAGGGGGACGGCGACAACGACGGCGGCGGCGGCGGCAGCGGCGACGACGACGCTGACGCTCTGGAGCCTTTCTTGGGGCTCTCTTGGGAGCCTCTTGGGTTCTGTTGGGGCTTGGGCTGGGGCCGCGGCTGGGGCCAGGGCCAGGGCTGGGGCCGGAAACGACGAGACTGCGACGGAACAGCCCGACACGAACGGGAAAGCCCCTCGCATACGCCCGCCGACGGGGTCGGCGGATTTATCCTCACCCGATTCTCTCCTCGTCCTGGTTTCGTCCTTACTATCGGGTATAGCCAGGACCCCAGGTAAGGGGACCCGGTTAGTAGTAGGGCCGCGGGGCCTCTAAATTGGCCAGAATCACTAACCAGGTCTGCCACAACTGGTGCTTTTCGGGTGACGGCAATTCTGGTTGGTGGAGTGGGGCTTGGGGGGCGCCCTCCAGTGTCGGGCTGGAAGAAAGGGGGGGATTGGGAAAGGGGGGGGTACGAAATTTGCTGCATGCAGCTGGTTTCGGCCCCACCGAGGGGCCCATTCCTCGATACGTAGCCGCCTCCGGCGCCGGGAGGCGCCGGGAAAATCAGCCACGTGAGCTGATTCTCACCCCCCCCCCTCTGCTATCCCCCCCTTTCGCCCGACCCGAATGTCAGCGCGCCTCCGACTCCGGGGGGGGGGAGGACGCACCGACACCCAATCGCCCAGTGATCGCCGATAGGTGCCTGACGGCCCGCCCCGCCCAAGACGGCGCGGATCTACTGCGGGGGGCCTCTCGCCGACCTACCGGGGGGCCGTTCGCCCTGCCCGACAGTGCACATAACTCCGCCAGGTCCCACTACAGTCGGGGCGCTGAAGGAGGAACCCTTTTCGTTGGGGAGGGGCTCGGTGTTCCTTGATTTTTTAACAGTTTGCCTCAGGTCTTCCTGAGGTGTTCCATGGGACATTGATGTTTAACTTATGAGAAAAGGGGCCTCGTTCCTTATTCAGGGTTCCTTAGGTCAACGCCCCGACTGTAGACCCAGCTCTGCCAGCGCCCGATGCCAGGCGACGGCCGAGCACGGGCGGGGGGCACGGGCGCGCACACGGGGGCAGCCGCGCGGAGAGAGGGGCGGGCGCGTCGTCGGGCGAGGGCGCGGGGCGCGGAACGCGGCGCCGGGGCAAGGCACGGCCAACGCTGCCAGGAAGGAGGAGCGACTTTCCTCCAAGGGGTTCCTCCTCCTCCTCCTCCTCGCCCTCCCCTCCTCGTCCTACCTCCCTCCCTCCCTCCCTCTCTCCCTCCCTTCTCATCCTCCTCCTCCTCCTCCTTCGTCTCCCTTCCTCCCTCCCGTCCTCCCTCCCTCCCTCCCTCCTCCTCCTGCTCCTCCTCCTCCTCCTCCTTCGTCGAGGAAGGCAAGGCACGGCCAGCGCTGCCAGGAAGGAGGAGCGACTTTAAACTCTAGGCCTCCTAGATGGGGTCCGAGTAGATGGGCTTGGAGGATCGCGCCGCATCGCCGATGCATCGCCGACGCGGCTCGATGCCGGGCCCAGTTTCCTTCACGCGGACGTCGCCGATGCATCGCCGACATCGCCGATGCATCGTGGATGCATCGCCGATGCATCGGCGATACATCGGCGATCCAGTGCAATCCTCCGCCCCCATCTACTCGGACCCCATCTAGGAGGCTTCTAATTCGAAGGAGAAAACGGTATGAGCATAAACTTTCGACGGTCCGTGCGGATTTCTTCGATCTGCGCTGGGTCCCCTTGAGCGGCGCCTCCTGCGCCGCCCCGAACGCGCTTCGAGCGCCAGGGAGGGAGGTCCTGCTCAGGTCCAAGAATCCGAGCGGACCATCGAAAGTTTGTGTTTATAGCTTTATATAATCCCCTGTGCGTCCTTTCCCATCGGCCTATCCTTTCGTTGGCCGCGCCCCGCTCGAGAAGTGTCGCAGCCCTTGTCGCGCACCCTTTCCCATCAGTTCTGACTGCATGCCGCTTCCGAAGTGAGGGGGAGGCAG